TCCCTGTTCCTCTCTCTCTCTCTCTCACTTGTTCCTTTAGCAAATATTTAGCAATTTCCTGCCAAGAGCAGTAGTTAAGAGCATAGACTTGGAACCAAAGGACCACATTTTTCAATCCCGGTTCCACGACTGACAAGCTATGTGATCCTAGGCAAGTCACTTAACTTTAAAATTTCTCTGCCCTTTAATTTCCTCCTATGTAAAAATGGGGGTTTCATAGAAACTAAATATTAAGTTAATTTCTGAAGGCAGCTAGAATGGTGCCTGGCACACAGTAAGTAGACTCTGAGAATGTGTTTGCTGAGTCGGAGGTCACGAGACTGCAGAGACAAGAAACAGAATTGCTCACAAGCAAGGAGAGAGGCAGAGCTTGACATGTAAGGAAATGTTTACACAGATTAAAAGTGGATTGCCTGAGCCCGTGGGTTCGAGACCCACCTGGGCAGGCGAGACCTCATCTCTACAATAAAATCAAAAAATTAGCCAGGCGTGGTAGCACGCACACCTGTAATTCCACCTACTCAGAAGGCCGAGGCAGAAGGATCGCCGGAGCCCAGCAGGTCGAGGCTGCGGTGGCCGGGAGTGGCCCCTGCACTCCAGTCTGGGCGACAGAGTGAGACTCCAACTCAAAAAAAAAAAGTAACTTAAAGTTTATTTTCATGCAGTTGTTTGTATCTCTGTGATCTTAAATGCTGAGGAAAATCATTACTGTCCGTCCTCAGATAATTGTCTTGGGTAAGTGACTAGTTTAGGCACTAAATGGTGCGGTGAAGGCTGCCTGAAAAGTTGTGTGAATGGAAGGTTTGCAGCTTGATAAATGAGATGTTGTTTTGTCTTCATTTCAGTTGCACTCCCAGGTCCTTCTTCACCAGCACTCATAGGATAACTCTTACCTGTAATTGCGTCTGACCTGACAAACGAGGCGTGTCAGTCACTTTGTTTCTCTTTGTTTTATCTCTTCTTATGTTGGGGGCAGTCATTTTAAGGTATACAAGATGCTTTCAAGTAAGCACAGTGGTTTATTCTGTGGTATCATTACCACCACAGTAAAACTAAAGGAAAACACCGGCTTTGTCTGTCATGGGATTAGTGATAGATATCCCAGCTTCTTGGTCAGTGAGCCATGCTGCTGACGTCACTGTGCTCGAACGGGTGTCTTCCTCTTCGTCTGCACGTGCGGGATGCCACCCGCATGTCTCCCGCCAAGTGCCTCGTACCCGGCCCATAACGAGTGTTCAGCAGGAATTTGTGTCGCTGAGTAGTGGGCGACATCGCTGCTTATTCTGTTCTGGATATTTGTGACAAATGACTACTCTTAACAACTACTCACTCAATAGAGAGCCTTACCAAGTTTTGAGACTTTTGTGCGGCTCATTTGAAGAAGATTAAAGCTGGCATTATGTTGGAAGTGTTAATCTGTTGATTGATTTAAGAAGCACAGGTAAGATCAAAGGATAAAAGTCAGTACTGAACCAGGAATTTTCCCTGAGGGGCGGGGGCACTGACAGCATGGAGGGTCCCTGGAGGCCCAGGCTTCGCCTGCTGCAGCCTGCCCATGGGCTGAGTCCTCCCTGTACCCCACAACTCTAGAATAAATAAACAGATACTTAAAAAAGAATTTTACCTGAGCCAAGTCCAAATTCTCTGCTTGGAAGTAACCACACAGAAGTCGTCTGTAGCCGCGCTTTGGGAGGCTGAGATGAGTGGATTGACTGAGCCCACGGGTTCGAGACCCACCTGGGCAACTTGGCGAGACCTCATCTCTACAACAAATCGAAAATTAGCCGACCGTGGTAGCGCGCACCTGTAGTTCCAGCTACTCAGAAGGCTGAGGCTGAAGGATCGCCGGAGCCCAGCAGGTTGGGGCTGCGGTGGCCGGGAGCAGCCATTGCACTCCAGTCTGGGCAACAGAGTGAGACTCCAACTCAAAAAAAAAAAAAAAAGAAAGAAGTTGTCTGTAACCCTAAAAGCCTACACACAATATGGTGTGAATAAGAGTGCTGAACATCAGTGATTGGTGACGTGTAATACTCAGAAATTGATTTGATCTTCATTCTCATTAAGTTATTTTTAAGACTACATTATATGTACCCTTAACCTGGAACTCCTGAAGTGATCTTTGACTAAAAGCGGTATTTATATGTTCAACAACAAAAACAACAAAAGAAGATAGTGCTGTGCATAAGATATTTTCAGCTGCCATCCATGGTGACTCACACCTGTAATCCCAACACTTTGAGGGGCAGAGGCGAGGGGATTACCTGAGCTCAGGGGTACGAGACCAGGCTGAGCAACATGGCGAGACCTCATCTCTACAACAAATTAGCCAAACATGGTGGTGCATGCCAGTGGTTCCAGCTACTTAGAAGGCTGAGGCAGGAGGCTCACTTGAGCTCAGGAGTTTGAGGCGGCAGTGAGCCATGATTGCCTGGGTGACAGAGTAAGACACCAATTCAAAAAAAAAAGAAAATCACAGTTTTATCCCAATTAAAATGGTAAATTTTGTTATGTATATTTTATCACACTAAAAAAAGCAGAATAAAAACATGTTAAAGGTACAAAAGTATCTTCAATATTATTATCTTGAGATACTGTTAGGCATTAAAATGAAAGTATACTCAAACAGATGTTGTTTTAGTATTTGCTTGTTATCACAAAATCTCATAAACTACTGTGCTTTTTAGCTATGATGTACTTTTTTTTTTTTTTTGAGTCGGGGTCTCACTCTAACCCTGGCAGGATCAGAGCTCACTGTAGCCTCAACCTCCTGGTTCAGGCAGTCCTTCCTCCCCGGCCCCCAAAGTAGCTGGGACTACAAGTGTGTGCAACCGTGCAGCTAATTTATTGATTTTTGTTTTGTTTTTTGTAAATACAAGGTCTCACTATGTTGCCCAGGCTGGTCTCAAGTTTCTGGGCTCAAGCAATCCTCCTGTCTTTGCCTCCCAAAGTGCTGGGATTACAGGCGTGAGCCACTGTACCTGGCCTAAACTGTGATTATTTTTTTAAAGTTGTGGCAAAATGCTTATGAAGTTTACCATCTTAACTATTTCTTAAGTGTAGAGTTCAGTAGTGTTAAGTGTATACACATTGTTGTGTAACCAACCTCTAGAATTTTCTCTAAAAAATGAACGAGTCCTTTAAGATACAGTCTGTGAAGTGCTTTTATTTTGCACAAGATGATACTGGTGTTCAAAATATGAACATATATCTTGCTAATGAAGAGTCTATTTTAGATTTTGAGCAGTTATATTAATGGCTTTTGGGGGGCTCTCTTTGATTAATAGGCGTGAGCTGAGTCGACAGAAACTTCACACCCAAGAGCTGCTTTCTCAGCTGGAAACGGCCAACGAGAAGGCCGCTGAGGTAAGACAGCTGCTCCCCAGGAAGGCCTTCCCGCTGCCACTTCACACATGTTAGAGAGCTTCGCCTGAGCCAAGTCCATTATCGCTCCACTTGTCCATAACCGCCCGGATGTCGTCCGGAAGCCCACAGTCCTCACGCTCTGCGGTGTGAGACAGCACGCTGGGCACTGGCGATGCTCCGTGTGTGGGTGACAGGCAGAGCTCCAGGGTCTGTCTCGCCAGGATCCCTCGGGAGAACTTCTGGAGCACGTGGGGACCCGCTTTATTCTTCTGCGTCTCTGAGATTGTTGCTTAATCTTTTCCTCTTCTTTTGGTTTAATTCATCACAAAAGGCACATAATCCTTCACCTACTGGAATATGTGTTGATGCCTGAGAACTAAATAGAGCAAGAATGAAGCATGTTTTTTCTTTGAGGCTTTAAAAAGCAAACAACTTTTGGGCTGTGAGGGTACTCTCTAGACCTCTAGTCCTTCACTTGATGCCCTCACTTCAAACGTGTCCGAGCTGGAATTCCTGAACAGGGTCTGTGCTCCTTCTCCGTAGTCCGTAGTGGGAGTTGCGGTGAAGTCGTGACTCTGGTGCACATGGCATTATAAATCAATCTGAACCATTAAAACACCCTTTAATGTAGTCCCACTTCTGGAACTCTGTTCTAAGGAAGTAATTGAAAATAGGAAAAAAATTAAGAAGCCATTCGGCACAGTAATGTTAATATAGGACGATCAGCAGCAGCCAGATTGAGCCGCTGAAAGATAGTTGCTTGCATTATGATTCACCCCGCCCTGTTCCATACCTATGATGGTAGCAACATAGGAAGTGTGCATGATGTGAAGCCTGATGATTAATATGAAGACAGTCATTACAGTTTTTCTGTAATATATGACGTGATTCTTAAAATCTAAGCCACATATTTAAACATCTCAGCTGGAACAGCCAGGATAGTTCTCTTCATAAAATTTGACTTTGCCTTTGGGAATAAGAAGGAATATAATGAGCTCACTTTGGCAAGATACTATTACTTCAGTTTTTTCTATCACTGTCATAGCCGTGACATTGACTCTTACCACTTGCCTGTGAGGGCCTGAGAACTGCAGGTCTGTGGTTCTTCATAGAAAGTGTTTTTCTAGCTGTTCCTGATTGGGCTTGTATTATTCTCTCAATTCGAATAACAGCCATTCTCATTGCGCTGACGTGTTTCCTTTTCAGATGTCCTATATCCAGGCTAGTAAGTGTGGACAGAGTGAATGCATTTTCAAGTTGGTGGATTACTTGAACCTGTCTGTGTGGCTGTGTGCTGTGGTTGCTTTCTGTCATGATGCCTGCGTAGTTCTTGTTATAACAAAGTGTTACCAACTAGGTGGCTCAAACAACAGAAAATTACTGTCTCACAGTTCTGGATGCTGGACGCCCAGAATCGAGGTGCTGATGGTGGCAGCTCCTCTGAGACTGGGAGAATCTGGCGCGCCCTTCTCTGGTCCTCGGCTTAAAGAGGTGTCTCTGTCTTCACATGCCTTCCCTCTGTAATGCTTGTCTCCCTGTCATATGGACTGTGACCACCTCGTGCCCTCACCTAAGCTGGACCATCTGCAGAGACTGTTTGCAAATAAAGTCACTTTCACAGGTCCTGAGCGCTGGGCCTTGAGCATCTTTGGGGGCACACAGTCCACGCCATTATCAGGGTACCCCTGATAACCCTGTGGACCCTGCTGCCCTCTGCAGTGTGAGCTGTGTTGGAGAACGAACAGAAACAGTTCGGCCAGCCCGACCTAAGCCCTGGCCGTGAGCTGGGCAGTTCATGTCCTCACAGACGTGCAGGTGACAGTGAGACAATGGTCCACGACTCAGAGAGAGAGCTCAGAAATTGAAGCCTTGAGCTCAGCTTCTGAGTGAGTCACTTTGCTTTGGGGTCCGTTCATTCACTCATTTGGGTGACATGTGGGGTAAAAAAAATTAGTAAGAATATAAAACCAAGTTTGTATTTTGAGGCTCATATATTGAAAAATGTAAATTTGGAGATAATATTATCTTTGTATTTCATAATACAAAAATGGTAAAATGATGTCCAGGTTTTTCACTGATTATTTCATAAAACATCCCCGTGTCACAGATCGATTTCTGACTTGTTTTATTTTATATTTCCCCTTCGTAGAATGAAAAGTTAATTCTAGAGTATCAAGAAAAAGCCAACAGACTTCAAAGGCGGCTGAGGCAGGCGGAAGAGAGAGCGGCTTCAGCCTCCCAGCAGGTGGGGCATCCTCCCTCTCCCAGATGAGGAACTGCCGAGTTCAGAGACAAGACTCATTTCTTGGAGGTTCCAGAGAACGCCTGGTTTTGTTTTTACTTGATTAGCATATTTCAAAGTAGTCCTTTTAATACTTGAGGTTGGGCCAGGCCCGGGGGCTCAGTCTGTCATCCCAGCACTTTGGGAGGCCAAGGCGAGTGGATTGCCTGAGCCCGTGGGTTCGAGACCTGCCTGGGCAACTTGGCAAGACCTCGTCTCTACAATAAATTGAAAATTAGCCAGGCGTGGTAGCGCACGCCTGTAGTTCTGGCTACTGGGAAGGCTGAGGTGGAAGGATCATCTTATTGAGTATGCGGTTTTTTTCCTTTCTTAAAATGTGCATACACTTTTTTGGCACCCTCTGTAGATGGAGGTGTTAGCTGAAGGATACTGATGTTTACTTTAAAATCCTTCGCCTACTGGAATATATGTTGACGCCTTAGAACTAAATTGAGCAAGAATGAAGCATGTTTTTTCTTTGAGGCTTTAAAAAACAACTATCTTTCAGCTGATCAATCTGGCTGCTTCTGGTCGTCCTATATTAACATTACTGTGCTGAATGACTTTTTAATTTTTTAAGTTTTACTTTTACAACCTCAAGTATTTATTTTTTGAGTTGGAGTGTCACTCTGTCACCCAGGCTGGAGTGCAGTGGCACACTCACAGCCACTGCAGCCTCGACCTGCTGGGCTCAGGCGATCCTTCCGCCTCATCTTTCCAAGTAGCCAGAACTACAGGCACGTGCTACCATGCCTGGCTAAGTTTTGATTTATTGTAGAGACGAGGTCTCACCAAGTTTCCCAGGCGGGTCTCGAACTGGCGGACTCAGGCATGCCGCTTGCCTCGGCCTCCCAAAGTGCTGGGATTACAGGCCGAGCCACCAAGCCTGGCCTTATTTTAGTTTTAAGTGGAAAAAAACTACTTGGCTTACAGGTTAATTTTGCTTAATACCCATTTATATGTGACCCGAAAAATCTAAAATACAATATAAAAGTTGTCTAATGGGGAATAGAGTGGAAAATGCATAATATCAGTGAAATATGAAGGGGTCGTTTCTCTTACCACAACACATCATGAGTGAAATGAACCATTGGTTTGAAACAGGAGTAATAGTCGCCCACTAGGAGCAAAATGTGACCAGTTCAGGGACTATAAAGTAAAAACAGATGGTTGAAATGGACGGGTGGGTGGACAGGGCAGGCAGATGACAAAGCAGACCGGCTGCTGTGGTGTGGATTGCATTTGGCTATAAATGCAGCAGTTCAGTCCAGATCAGCATCGGTCCTAGTGACAACAGCATGTTGGGCATAGGAAAGCAGCGGGCCTTCTTCCTGGACTCAGTTGATGTTCGCGATGTTTATAGATTTTTTTAAAAGGCCTACTTGGGGGATGAACATGGCGTGACACTGAAAGAAAACACACTAATAGCTTAGCCTCCCATGTCTCTCCCTCTCGAAAACACTTATAGCTTTGCCAAATAACTAATTTCTGATGAGTGATGAGTTAGTTAATGACTAACCAGTCATTCAAGAATTCATTCATTTAGATGCTCAGACAGCAAGAGCCGGGGTGCTCTGGGCGGTGTCTTGAGAGTGTGTGCTTTGGTGTCAGGCAGGTCGCTCGGTGCCATCCGTAGTCAGGTGACCTTGGGAAGTTCCGCCTGCTCTACGCCTCGTTTTAACGTAGGGCAGTTAGGGGACCCAAAGCATTAACACGTGTCAAGCACCTCCCATACTGGTAAGTAGATACTTAGATGGGCACATAAGAAATTAAATTTCCACATGAAAACCCCTCAAGCTTCTCGCTTACCTTTTTAAGACAGGTGGTCGAGAAAACACCTTCTTAAAACCAACTACCTCAAGTTCTGTAGGAAAAGAGTCCAGTTACGAAAACCTAACTCTTGTTTTTGTTTTTTTTTTGAGTCGGAGTCTCACTCTGTCGCCCAGACTGGAGTGCAGTGGCCACTCCCGGCCACCGCAGCCTTGACCTGCTGGGCTCCGGCGATCCTTCCGCCTCAGCCTTCCGAGTAGCCGGAATTACAGGCATGCGCTACCACGCCCGGCTGATTTTTTGATTTATTGTAGAGATGAGGTCTCGCTGCCCGGGCGGGTCTCGAACCCGCGGGCTCAGGCAATGCACTCACCTCAACCTCCCCAAAGGCGCGGGATTACAGGTTGAGCCACCAAGCCCGTCTTAAGAGGGGTTTTTGAAGAGCAGAGGTTGCTCGTCAAAGATGCTGGCTGACACCTGAGTCAGCTCTGTGCACATCTGTGCCTCATGGGACAGTGTTTTCATTCTTTTAAATGCCGGAGTAACTTTCTTCCGTGGCCTGGCCCCAAGTGTTTCCCCTGCCCGTCGAGAAGACGCTGGTGGAATTCCCATTCGTTAGTGAGGAGGGAAAGGTGATGATGTTCCTGGGTAGGTTGAGGGGATCCTGCGGAGAGGACAGGAAGACATGTGGAAACAGGAAGTGGGGAAGGCAGGACCCTGGAGACCCTGGGCTTCTCCTTCTCCACATGCTAATGAGAACTCAGCACCAAGACGCCCTCCGTATTCTAAGTTTCTTTTCTCCCTTTTCATTTTTTTAAACTCAATTTTTGTAAAGGGCACAACTCTCAAGCATAGAGCTTGATGGATTTTTGCAAATCGAGCCACTACCCAGATTAAGGTATAGAACAAGATTAAGGTATAGAACAAGATTAAGGTATCCAGAAAGATACAACTCGGACCCGACATTCCACAATGGAAAGCAGTTTCATATTTTTAATGTCAGAATAACCTTATTTCCTGGCCTGGCCCCAAATCTTTCTTATAAAGAAACAGCCACATTAGATTAATTATCACGTTTTAAAATTATCTTAATTTTGTAACATCAGGCAACACAAAACAACCGATAGCTTTTACTTTTACATGTGGGCCAAGTGTGAACCATCCATGTGACAACATCTCAAGAGCCAGCCCTTCGAAGCCCAGCTTCTCTTAGCCCTAGAAAGCTGCAAAGAACTTTCAGGTGAGTGATGTAAAAATGAATTGTGAGCTTGGAGAAGTAGAAGAGGAATTTGCTAGGATCCCCTTTCTTCAGGACTTTTGTAAATATCTCCCTCTATCACTGCTTCTTATTTCTTTGACAACCCTAGATTTTCCTGATTTATTTTTAGTTAATTGTTTGGGATTTTATTTTATTATTTTATTTTTTTAGAGACTAGGTTTTGCTATGTTGCCCAGACTGGTCTTGAACTTCTAGGCTCAAGCAATCTACCCGCCTCAGCCTCTCAAAGTGCTGGGATTATAGGCATGAGCTACCGTGCCCGGCCAGAGAGTCTTATTAGAATTACTTCAAACCCATACATGCATTTAGGAAGAATTGTCATTATTAAATAACCGTTCTTTGATTCCATTTATCTGACTTTGCTTTAAATGCCTTCGATGAATTTTTGTCATTTCTTCATATATGTTTTGTGCGTTTCTTTCTTTAAAAAATTAGTTATTTCAATAGCTTTAGGGGCACAAATGATTTATGGCTATATAGCTACTTTGTATAGTGGTGAAAAAATCTGGGTTTTAAGTGTACCTGTCACCCCCATTCGTGCACATTGTACCTGATGGGTGATTTTTCATCCCTCCCCCTTTCCTATCCTCCACTTTTTGAATCTCTAATTTTTTAGTTTTTTTTTTATCGCCAGGACTTTTGCCAACCTGACAACAAAAGGTGGCTAGGATCTGGATTCCCAAAATAAATGTGGAGCAAAATGGCCCAGAAATGCTTTGAACACTGAGCCACACATTTTATTAGTTAGCAGAATGTGTGAAATTTGCTAAGAATTTCACAAATTCAAATATTGTGCTGCAGCCTTGGACAGAGTAGGCTGTGGAGTCCCAGGGGCCAGGGTGGTTCTCCAGTTCTGGGCAGCAGTATCAATTCTGAAACTGGCACAAAGTTTTTCTATATCACACAAAATTGAACACAGGTTAGAGAATGGGACCCCGATTTATAAATATCTGCTAAAGCTTTATTGTCACAGCTAAGTGGAACACAACTGAAATAGTATTATACCCTTTCATCAAAAAATGTCAAACCCTAGAAGGGAGGAATACCTGAGGACAGAAGTTTAAATAAATCAAACAATTCAATAGCCAGCACTTATTAAGTACCTATTGTACATAAGTATATTTATTTGACAAATATTTATTGAGCATTTGTATTTGTCAGGGTTCTCTAGAGAAATTGACCTACTGGATATTTTTATATGAGGAGAGAGATTTATTTTAAGGAATTGACTTACTCAACTGTGGGTGGCAAATTTGATAGTTACAGGGCTGGCTGGCAGTCTAGAAGTCTAGGCAAGAGTTGATGTTGCAGTCTTGAGTCTGAAATCCATGGGGCAGGCCAGCAGTCTGGAAACTTGGGCAGGGTTTCTATGATGCAGTGTTGAGGCAGAATTCCTTCTTTGGGAAACCTGTCTTTGCCCTGTGGTCTTCAATCAATTGGATAAGGCCCACCTACATTGTAAAGGGCAATCTGCTTTACTTAAAATCTGCCAATTGCAAACATTAACCACATCTTAAAAACATCTTCACAGCAACATCTAGACTGGTGTTTGACCAAACAACTTGGCACCACAGCCCAGCAAAAGCTGACACATAAAACTAACCATTACAGCATCTAATTGTTTAATCATTGTGCTAGGTCTGTGAATGACACCCATGGAAAATAAGACACTGGGATTAATAAAATTAATAAAACCAATCTTTAACTGATACAAAGATTAATAACCCATCCTCAGGAAGCTTTTTACCTAGTAATGTAGAGAGGATAGAAACAACTTTCCTTCTCTTTCCAGAAATGTGGGTCAGCTAGATCATCTGAAAATCCTTTGATGAAGTATAAGAAATATTATTTAAGCAATGACTTTAAATAATCTTCTGGACTAAAGAGAAGTAATTACTTTGCGGAGACCAAAAATGCACTGAAACCAGGAATTGTAGGTGGCTATCTGTCAGACCCTGGTGACCTTGGGCTTTCTATATAATGACTGCTCAGGACATGAGATAGGGCATAAAACCTACTACCTGCAGAGAGATGGGGGTCAGTTGGGGAGGGGTGAGACAAAGAGGAAGCTAGAGAAAATCACCATCCCCCCACAGGAAGAGGGCCCTCACCAGGAACCTGACCATAGTGGCACCCAGATTTTGGACTTCCAGAGTCCAGAATGGCAAATAATAGCTGTTTGTTGTGTAAGCCACCCAGTCTATGCCATTTTGTCAGAGCAACCAGTGCTAAGACAACCACCGAGAGTAGTCACCACCAAGAGTAATTTTATGAAGCTTTGAGTAGGGCAAGCATAACTTTAGGACATTGTAAAGGGTTTTCTTAAAGTGTTTGGATACCATGCACTTCAATGATAGAATGTCAGATACAGGTTGTACCATGATGATCATATTCCAGCATCTTCTAAACTCTAACCCCCACCTTGGGCATGGGCTCTCCACTCCCACTCTCCCCCCTCCCTCCCCACCCAACTCTCTGCACTTGTTTGGAGGAGCCATTCACTTGACAGATATTTCCTGAGGCCCTGCTGGGTACCAGGTTTTGAGATTGGCTCAGAGAAGCTGGACAGTCAAATAGGCATTCTCAACTCTCAGTACCAAGACCACTTGCCCCAAAGTGCCCTCTCAATACATCCAGACTCAGTGTGACTCACATGGGCTACTTTGAGCTCCCACAGCATCTATACCAACCATCCCATCCGATGCCAGCTACCTGTCTGATGTCTGCCTCTAAGTCATCTGTAAACTGTAAACTCTGAGAGAGCAGGGCCTGGGTCTGTCTTGTTTTCTGCAGTAGCCACAGATCACATCATAATAGCTGGCTTATAATAGGTGCTCGGCAAATAGTCATTAAATGAATTAGCTTCTCCCATTTTTGAATCCCAGTGGTGATGGTTTAAGTGGTCAGTGCATTTTGCTCCAGCTTCATTTGCCATAGACTCAGGTGCAAGAAGAAGTAGCTGAGCAGCCTCACCTGGATCCCCTCTTAAACCGCTGCTGTAGACAGTTTGGGTTCAGAAATAATCCAAAATGCCTTTGGCCAGAAGATGTTTTTTCCCCACTCATTTTCATAACCCTGTTTGTTTGAGAGGAAATCGGATCCAGATGTTCTCGACTCATTTACATTAAATTCATCACCACGTGACACTATAACAGCTTTTGATGGCCATGCAGTCCTTTTCACAAACGAGGCAGTTGTTGTTTGCCAGCTGTAAATGAGCACAGGACCCCAGCTCTTTGCTGTTGGGTCCAAATGTAGACTCAGCAAAGATTGGGGGAGTGTGAAGTCTGGCAGCTCCACGTTCTCCTCTCCCTGCGGAACCGTGGATGGGATTTTACAGACCTTGGAATGTAGATTTCCTAACGATTCAGGCGAATGTCACAATGTGATGGTTTAATCCACCAAAAGGACAAGAAATGAGACTCTCCCTTGTCCTTATGACTTCTACCCATTTTAAAAAGAAGTGGGAGACAAAAGAGAGGATAAGGAAAGGAGTTTTAGATAATTGCACACCAAAATGCACACATATATCCAAAATTCATAATGACCTAATGATTCACTAACAGCACCAGGGAATCAAAATGTGCTGGTCCCTTGGCGGGCAAAGAGCTCAGGTCCCCCTTCCCTCCTCCCTCTCCCTGTGCTTTTCTCCACCCAGCCCTCTCTCTCTCTGACATAAGGGTAGGCTTTGGCATGGAAAGATGACTCCTTATTCCACTGAATTACCTCAACACGGCAAAACTAACTCCAAGTGATTTGTAAGGCTATTTTATGGCTCAGAAAATGTGTGTATGAGGGGGGAATGTTAATCTCAGTGCAGTGAGTTGCTCCTTCCTCTGCTCACGGAGCTCTTGCGTGAATCTTGAGATTCATCTATTTAAAAGGCTGTTCCCAGCTGGGTGCAGTGGCTCAAACCTGCAATCCCAGCACTTTGGGAGGCCGAGGTGGGAGGACTTATTGAGACCAGGAATTCAAGACCATCGCGGGCAATATAGCGAGACCTCATCTCTATTAAAAAAAAATTAGCTGGGCATGATAATGTGTGCCTGTAGTCCCAGCTACTTCGTAGGCTGAGGAGGGAGGGAGGATCACCTGAGTCCAGGTGTTTGAGGATGCAGTGAGCTATGCTCATGCCATTGCACTCCAGCAACAGAGTAAGACCCCATCTCACACACACAAAATAACTTGTTCCCACCAATAGACTGGTAAGATCCAGAATAGAAGTTGAACTCATTTATCCTTGTATGCTCAGCACAGGGCACATAGTAGTTGCTCATTAAATTTCTGATGAATGAATGAGTGCCTCTACATCAACCAGAGCTTCCAGATTGCTGTATCGCCACATAGATACATAACATAGATTAAACATAGAATGAAGAAAGAATGTAGAAAGAAAAGAAAGACCTAATTCTTGAAAATCCTGTGAGTGCAACCAGAGAATTTTTAATCACTCAAGCAAGTAGTAGCAATACATAAATTTGAGCATGCCGAAACATTACTCTGATTATACTTTCTGTTTTCATTTTTTGTAGGTTTAAATGTGACAAATCTCTGAAAATGGACAGTCTCCTGATGATGTGATAGTTACAACCAATCTGAGAGAAGAAAGTCCATACCTTCAATGACATTGAAAAACACTCCACAATTCCTGCAGTCATCTAGGACAGTTATGCCCTTGCTTGGAACCAAAGCTGATGACATCAGTTTATAAAGGGGGAAAAGAGATCGTGACGTTTTAAACTGTGTTTTCTACTGTGCGATTGGATTTTCTAAACCAGTTTGGAAAGGCGCAGACCTTTCTAGACCACAGCAGCGCCCTAACGCAGAAGTGGTGAGCGTCTGTCTGAAACGAAGGAAAGGATGATGTCACCCTCCACAGCTAAGGACTGAGGGATTATGAGATTTGAAGTGGGATTTGGAAAAAAATCCCTGGTGCTGTGAATATTGGGCCGGCTGGCGGCCTCCTCACCTGGGCCGAAATGCCTTGCTGCCTCCCTCCAGTTATAATAATTGCCCTCTTGGCTACGACTGTGAAGGTTATTTTTCATCGTTTTTTCCACTCCAAGTTTCAAGGGATTTTACTGTGAATCTTAATTATTTTTTTTTTCCACTTTTGGTCAAGTCTTTTTGACATGGTTTCAGATCGTGAGCAATCTGAAGTGTGGATGGATATTAAACAAATCGTGTACTTGGCAGTTTGGGGGCCACAGTGGAGAAGCAATTAAGGAGGTGGCAGTGGGAGGATGGTGCGGGGTAAACTGCAGTTATCAGGGATTGAGGGTCGATTCTCCTCTCAATGATGGCACAGCTGTGTTTGGCTTGCTGACTCATGTGTGACTACAGATCAACAAGACTAGCATTCAGCTTATTTCATCAAAATGGAATATTTCTGGAGTACCTACTATATGCAAAGCATTCTAGTAGATGTCATAGAGAATTATAACAATTCACAGAAATTTCTTGGCACCACGGTGCTTGCAATCTAGTAAAATTACTTAGCAAACACTTTGTGATTAAACATATTATTTGTACTGTGTCAGTTCAGCCAAACTTTCTCAGAGTTTCCTTCTCTGTTTGGTTCTGAGATAGGGATGGTCACATGAGGAATTTGTGGAAGTTCCGAAGGTTGGTGCAGGCACCAGACACTGTGATACTATGTACTCATTGCTGCTCTGCTGGCTCACCTGGCACAGTGGGAGAGTAGCCTGCACCCACAGCTCCTTGAGCTCCTCCTTCAGTTTCTCCAAGTACTGGGCAACGTGTTGGTGCTACTCCCTGGCAAAAGACAACACCAGCTTCTCCTGCACAGAACCCAGTATCAAGGCTGGAATTGTTGAAAGACAGTGGTAGGTTTCAGCTTGTCTTCATGGGTTCCAGTTGTCTTGGTGGGCTCTAGTTTGCCTTTTTCCATGTTGAACTTTCCTTCTCAGCTGCTACCCCAACAGGAGATGCAGAGACAACAGCCTGGCATTGGTTCCTCCTCTCATGCCCACAGTAGCACATCATCAAATCCCTCTATTCAATGCCTCATTCCATCTCACTCAGTGCCTCTGCTCCTCTAATCCAAACTTGACTGATGTGGCACACACACACACACACACACACACACACACACACACACACACACACACACACAAAGGCCTCTTGGCCTCTTTAATGTGATAACTTGGGACTACTATTCATTTATTCCAGTGTTGTTGTCTGACTCATTGTGGGACTTGGAACATGATTTTATCTGCCTTGACCACACCTGTAAAATGAAGGCTTGATCTAAATCAGTGATTTTCACCTTGTCTGGTCATTAGACTCACCAAGGTTCTCAAGATAAGTACAGAACCCCAAAGTCACAATTTAGAACCACTGACTTAAAATTGTAATGGGAGTAACCAGTAACCAGCAAATCTTTATTTTATACCAATACCCCAAGTACTTCTTTTTTTTTTTTTTTGAGTTGGAGTCTCACTCGGTCACCCAGACTGGAGTGCAGTGGCCGCTCCCGGCCACCGCAGCCTCGCCTGCTGGGCTCCAGCGATCCTTCCGTCTCAGCCTTCCGAGTAGCCGGAATTACAGGCACGCGCTACCACACCCGGCTGATTTTTTGATTTATTGTAGAGATGAGTTCTCGCTGCCCAGGTGGGTCTCGAACCACGGGCTCAGGCAATCCACTCACCTCAGCCTCCCAAAGACGTGGGATTACAGGCTGAGCCACCGAGCCCGGCTCCCCAGGTACTTCTTATCACCAGGTAAAGCTAGGGTGAGGCTGACAGGTACGATTGAGTAGTTGGTGCTCAAGGGACAAGTGGAAACTGGAATCCAATGTGTGCTTCCCTCACAAGTCAGGTGTCGTGATATACAAGTGGCACTTTTAAAAATTTGTGGCTGGGGGCAGTGACTCACATCTGTACTCTTAGTGTTTTGGGAGGCTGAGCCCAGGAGTTCAAGGCAAATCTGGGTGATATAGCAAGACAACATGGCAAGACCCCAGAGCTACAGGAAAAGAAAAAAAACAGGTATGATGGTGCATGCCTGTAGTCCTAGCTATTCTGGAGGCTGAGGTGGGAGGATCACTTGAGCCTAGGAGTTTAAGACTGCAGTGAACTATGATTGCACCATTATATTCCAGCATGAGTGACACAGCGAGACCTTGTCTCAAAAAATAATTACAGCGAGACCTTGTCTCAAAAAATAATTTTAAAAATTTGTACAAAAGCTTATGGCAGACCTGAATTTGGAAAATGCTGGATTGTATAATCACCATGGTCCTTCTGTGTGTAGCATTCTATATTTTGAAGCTGTGGTATCCAAACATTTTAAGTATGAAGACTCTCTACAATATCCTAAAATTAGGCCTGTCCCTATTCATAGCTTCATGATAGTTACTCTTTGTAGTGATGACTCTTGGTGGTTGTCTTAGCTCAAGTTGCTATGATAAAATACCATAGACTGGGTTGCTTCAGCAACAGACATTTATTTCCTCCTCATTCTGGAGACTGAAAGTCCAAGATCTGGGTGCCAGTACGGTCAGTGAGGGCCTTCTTCCTGGGGGGATAGGGGGTAGATATCTCTTTTCCCAAGGGCACTGTCTTAGTCTATTTTGTGTTGCTATTACAGAATACCCCGGACTGGGTAATTTATAAGGAAAAGAAATTTATTTCGTATAGTTCCAGAGGCTGGGAAGTTCAAGAGCATGGAGCCCTTGGGAAGCATCATCCCATAGCAGAAGGTGGAAGGGCAAGAGGGGGTGAGAGAGCAAGAGATATCTGAACTTACTTTTATAACCATCCCACTCTCTCAATAACAAACCTATTCCTGTGATAATGCCGTTAATCCCTGTATGAGGGCAGAGCCCTAATGACCTAATCGCCTCTTGAGGGCCTCACCTGTTAATGCTATTACACTGGGAATTAAGTTTCTAACATATGAACTTTGGGGGACACATTCATAGCATAGCAGGCACTAATCCTATCTGATGACCTAATTACCTCCTGAAGGCCACATCTACAAATACCATCATATTGGGGGTTAGGACTTCAACATATAAATTTTGGAGGAACACAATCCAGACCAATGGTAATCGAACGTTTGGTGTTGTTAATTAACAAGTGGCTACTATGACATCAACAATGCTTTGAAATTAGTGCTTATTTTATTAACCATTGCTAGTAAAAGATGAATGTACACATATGTGTGAAAACTTATTTAGAAAATGCCTGGTCTTTATATATATAAACTCTTCAGACTCTATGATCTTAGGACTCACTGAGCATTTTATAAGCCTTTCACCTTTGACATTATATCCAGAACTAGTCAAAGAAATCAATCCCATGACTTGGGGGTTATGTCTCATCTTTGATGGGGAATGGTCATATCCATCTTGGTTTTTCACCTTATTCACCCAGACATATTGCTGAATTTACAAAAAGTTAAGCACACTCTTCAAAAATTAAGCAACTACTACCAAGTCATTGAGGACTCCCTTAATATAGAGACTGTCTGATGAATTGTTTTGTCCCTTGGTTATTTTTGCCAGTGCCACAAATCTAGTAAACTTCAATAAGTATCTCTTGAATAAAAAAACTATACATGACACTACTGAACTGTCCACTTAAATATTTTAAAAAATTAAAAACTACATGAAAGGGGTTGCAGTATTTGAAGACAATTCCTTTAAAAGTGAACTTAGCAAACACTTTGTGATTAAATGCTGATCAAATTAAATATCTCTCAAGGTGAATCCTTTAAGGGACATTTAAACAAATCAATTGTCACTTCATAATTACAATTTGATTTGGGCTCTAAGATTTCTGTGATTCTAATATAAACCCCATTTTACCCCAAATGACCATATGCTTGGTATTTGTTTGTTCTTCAGGGGATTAACATCCTGGCTGAGGACAACACAGCAAATCAGAGATTGAACCTGCCCTCAAAACAAGGCCAGGCAGAGCTCATGGGGACAGATAGCTGAGAGGGGAGGGCATTTCTCTAGAGACTGCCACCACTGAGTTTGAATTCTGGCTTTGCCACTACACAAGCTATGTGACCTTGGGCAAATAACTTCATCCCACCTTCCTTATCTGTAAAATAGGATTGATAATGCCAAGTGTAGTGAGGACTAAATTAGATCGTGCAGATGCGTAAATTATAAAATACACTCAGCATACCCCCCAGCAAACACTAGTTACCCAACAAATAGTAGCTCTTAATGGACCCTTAATTATTGTTTTATGTATTTATATTTTCCATTTTTTCTTTTCTTTTTTCTTTTTAGAGACAGTGTCTCACTCTGTCACACAGGCTGGGGTACAGTGGCACAATGACAGCTCACTGTAATCTCAATCTCCTGGGTTTAAGCAATCCTCCTACCTCAGTCTCTTGAGTTGCTGGGACTACAGGCACGTGCCACCACCCTCAGCTAATTTTATTTTATTTTTTTTGGTAGAGATGAGATCTTTCTATGTTGTGCAGGCTGGTCTTGAATTCCTGGGCTCAGGCTATCCTTCTGCCTCGGTCTCCCAAAGTGCTGGAATTACAGACTGAGCCATCGCAAATTACTATTTTTTTTTTTTTTTTTTTTGAGT